TAAAATTCAAGGACTGCTCGGAGATTGATGGCGGTGATAACGGCATTAGTGAAATTGCGCCTGATGCGTGAACATCCCCACGTATCGCTCACAATGAACACCCCGTTTCAATGTCCCAGGTATGAGAGCAAAGGCAAACAATTCGCCAAAGCTGTACCTGACCATCCCATCGGGCTTTCACCGGCACAAATCGAGCGCCTGCGACTGGCACGCGAGCGAAACGCCGGTCACGAATCGAATCCCCGAGAAGTCGGCAATGCGTTGATTCCGGGCTTGGACCCTGCGCGAGCCGTCGCCAGCATCAAAAAGACCGCCAAAAAGGCCGCCAAGGGCAAGCAGGGTGAAGCCGTCAAGAAACCCGCCGCAGAGAACGCCGCCGACAAGAATTCCAAGAAACCGAGTCCCTCGGCGCTGAGTTTAGACGTTCTCCGGATCTCAGATCCGGTGGATCCTGCGAAGCGATTGCGGAATTTGCGGAAGAAGCTCAACGACATTGATGCCCTGGAGGCACGAATAAAAAGTAAGGAGATTTCCCCGTCTGCTGAGCAACTGGAGAAAGTTTCCCGACGGCAGCAAGTGGTGGATGAAATGGAGGCGTTGGAAAAGCAGATTGTGAATTGACAGGCTTTTGTTCGTGCTTTTTTTTGTTGTTGTTGACTATCTTTTTGGGTGTGTGGTCTTTTGGCTTAATCCCCGATTAAAAGATCATCTGTTCATTCGCCAGATCTGTTGATTTTCCTGGTTGCTCGTCGAACTTCCTCGGGTTCCTCAGTCCTGCTTTCCGTCGTGTTATGTGGAATTTTATCGAGTTTCGTTAACTAGTATTCGTACTACCGCATTTTGGCAAGTATAAAGCGCTCTTTTTGTTTCTACAACTTCAGGCTTGCCAAAAGTCACGCTTCACGTCTTTGAAATCGATGAGATCTCGAATTCGAATTTAGAGCTAGTTGAAGGGATGATTCTGCTCGAATGGTTGATGTCTCATCAAATATTGGCTGCATTTAATCTCGTCATTGGAGCTAAATGCAGGAACTGACAATTAAAGTGACGAACATGAGAATATAATAAAACAGATATCTTCATAAGTTTTTCCATTAAGTTTTTCTCTAAAAATGTTCATGTTAGTCCTGCTTTGCTTAAAATGGTAATTAAAAATAAACTTCTGTTAGCAGCCTCGCGAGGCGCTATTTGCATTTTTTCATTGCAGAGAATTATTTTGAATTTTTGTGATTAAAAAATTTGTTAACTTTTTTGCTCAGTCCAACAAGAAGTGTTTTTGGAATTTTTTTCAAGGATTGGGTGGAATGTCTTGGACAGGAAGTCTTTTTTTCTGTTGTAGAAGCTGTGCCTTAGAATTTATGACGTGCTCTGCAATTTTCTTGAAAATTGTATTGCGACTGCGCTGTTCAAGTGATATTTACCGCACCAATAAATCGCTGCTCGTAGGATGTTCTTGTGTAGGAGAACTTGGTGAAACCTTTTGCCATGTCCAGAAAGATGATATTGTTATTGAAGTCTACTAAAAGTGGGATATTACTTCCCCTTAGTCACTTACAAGCCTCCTATCCTGGAAACTCGCTCAAATTCCATTCCCTCATGAACATTTTCTAAATGAGGAAGAAAACCGAACGAACTCTATTTCGTTGAAAAAAAGTTGGGCTATTTTATTTTACTGAAACGCTTGCGAAAGTTTTATTCCAGGCGAGAAAAATCGTCTCACATCTGATGGGAATTTCGATGTAGTAAATTCCTATCATCCTGATGAGTGATGGGGTTGTGTGTCTCGTATTGTTACGGGTGTAACTTGGACAGTGATTATGTTCAACCGAATTTGGTGAGTAATTATTTTTTTCTTCCGTGAATGAAACCTTCAATACTAGAAATCTCTGCCGCAACTGTTGTGAAGCGAATCTAAATTAAGCGTGGAAGCGTAGAGAACATCAAATATATATTGACGTGCTGCCACGCTTTACTCTCAAGCTTACTCTTATGTTTTTTTAAATAGTTTTCTCTAGTTTCCTAAAGTCGTGATCATGTGGGGAAGTTCTAGAACGGGTGGGAAGAAAAACAAGAAGGGCGCTACACGCCAAAGTGAGCCACAGTTGGACCCGCAGGTTGACATTATTTCCCTTGGTTCGGGATATTTGTTGGTACCCGTTTTTCTAATGTGATGATTTTTGTGATTAGGAATTGCGAAGACAGCAAATGTTGGCAGCAGCTGAAAAAAGACGTTCAGATGAATTGCAAAGAGGTCTGAAAAATGCCGGAACTGCGGATAAGCTGTTGAAGAGAAGGTCTGATGATGAGCATCCGGAAAGACGAGCGGGTGGTGAAGATGGTGAACCGCCATTGAGGGTGAGCTTTTTATTTTAAGCTCTCTATCGGAACTCGATCTCGAAATATCAGGGTATGGAAAAGAATCTTTGATTTTCAACGAAGGTGACATTTATTGTTGGAATCGATGTACATCAGTACTACAGTACAGGTATTTTATAAATGCATGTATACACTCGTACTCGCCATTTCCTCGTCTGGAATTCCATGCTACTTCTGAATTTGTGTTTTCGGAGTAATTCGTGGTAGTTATCATTTTTTATTTCTTTTAGTTTGTTAATGAAACGCAAATTTCGTTTTTCAGTGGAATGTGGGCTAAAGGAATTCGATTCGGTGCTGTGTTGCGATCCAGTTCCTGTTCCCAAGGCTTCTTTCAAAGTGTTGATGCTTCTCGTCATTGTTTCTGTATTCTGAAATAAAGCAACTTCTGCGTTTGCACAACTTCCTCCCGTTTGATTCCCTTTTTTTCTTCAATTATGATCGATTTCTTCGTCGCTGTTCTCGGGATGGTTGATGCGAGTTGGACTAGGGGAGAGGATTTCGGAACTGCTCTGATCATCATCCGTGAGAGCATTCTTGTCGCGCATGTAATCCTTGTCTTTGTCATCGTCATCCTGGCTGGTCTTGGCTTCAACTGTTGGCTTCCCTTCGAGTTTGAAGAGGTTCGGGAGTCTTGGTAAGACGCCTTGCAGACACCAGTCTCTCCATGAGTTGTAGCGTTGTTGCAATGGGTTATCTGGAGGGAATTATGGAAATCATACTTGAATTGCAGAGGTTCCTCAGTTCAATGAATTTTTCAAGACTGAAGAGGACATGAAGATAAACTGCTGCCTTACCAAGAGACCAAAAAATTTGACACATCTGCTGCTGAATTACATCAGTAGAAACTTCAATCTGACTTCAACATGTTTTTGGAGTATGATAGTGAATGTCACTCTTGATGTTATTCAGATCAGTAACCCACTGCCTGTGGACCATGGACTGGCTTTGGTCTACAGAAGTTTTCTACCAACTACAAGTAATTTTCTGTTATAGCTGCATACTCAATTTATCTCAAGCTGCTTATATTTATCTGAAATTTTGGAAAGACAATAATGGCAGTTGGACTTATCTGATTAAAAAAAAATGAAAATTGGTGTGAAAACACCACATGAAAAAATGAAAACACCAGACATTTTTTAAGCTGTTGAAATAGAGGTTTCATTCTGTGAAACCTCTATTTTTGTAGACATGCCATTATACAGCTGCTCAATTAAATGTTTGCAAAAAAGTAAGGAACTTCAATCATACATATCTGACAAATTTTTTAAGCTGTTGAAATAGAGGTTTCATTCTGTGAAACCTCTATTTTTGTAGACATGCCATTATACAGCTGCTCAATTAAATGTTTGCAAAAAAGTAAGGAACTTCAATCATACATATCTGACATAAAGTCTTTTTGAGCAAAACTTTTTGCACTTGCAAACATTTCATGAAACTTTGCCAGTCTACAGAAACTTTTGGAAATTTTCCAGGGCACAGAAAGGTTGGTAAAGGTAACTTCGACAGCTATACTAATAATGTGGAGGAAAGAAATGTGAAATTTTAAAAAACTGAACTTGAAGGTTATATTAGTACAGCTGGTACCCTGCAATTTGAGCCCATAATCCATTGCTGGGGAGAGGTGGAATCATGAAATGGTAGAATTGAAAAGCAATGTCAAAATCAATGTTTTCTACTGTTAATTTATCATTTTGAGTCTCTTTGAAGGTTGAATTGTGGGGCAGAAGATCAAATTGTGAGTTGACATCCCAGCAAATTTGACCATCAAATTGCAAGATGGTCAAATTAAAGTACATTGAATTGCAAGGTACTACCTAAACTATGCAGTACTGTATTTGTGTTTTGGTCTTTAGCTTATGATGAAGATTATAAAACTTTAAATGATGAGGCATCATCAAGGGGTTTTAGATTTTCTCGTACCTGTTAACTCTATATTGTAACGAGACAACGTAACATGTATTAGTATGTCATACCGCACACGTTAACCCTTGAAGTAAGAACACCAGAATTTAAATAGAAACTGGTAGTCTATCGGTATCTTTGATGTCAAGATGGTCCCGAGTTAAACATGGATGCTCCCTTACGCGTCGAAGAATCGTCGCGTCTGGGATCTGATTGACGCCTCTCGAAGGCCGAAAGTCTGTTTCACGAGAAACGTAAGCGCGAGTAATGGAACGAGAAACACGAGCAATGGTAGTGCATTCTTGAATAATGAAGTGAAACGTTAGTGTTCCCGCGGATCATTTTTCATTGTCGTGCAATTTACGGACGATATACCGCGTTCGTAGCGTGAGGCGTACGATAGAAGTAACGTATCAGTCGAGACTAACTTTCAAAAACCAGATCCTCCAATTTTGGAATATCCTTCAACCGGTCAAACTCAGCCCAATCCTTCACGAGATTGTTGGACATGTACAATACTCTCAGATTTTTCAGGGTTCCTATTCCTTTGAGTTTTTCCACCTGGTTGTACGAGATCCAGAGTTCTTCCAATGTTTCCGCCACGTGTTCCTGGAATGAAATGTCCGTCAGGAAATGCGAAATGAACTTCCACGTAGTTGGTCCGCACTCACCAAGCCGGAAAGGCTCTTGATGTAATTTCTTCCCAGCGATAGTATTTTGAGATTTTCTGCGAAATAGCCGTCATTCATTTTTCTCGTACATCATATAGATATGTATATTATATTAGGATGGTTAGGAATAACTCACTGAGTCCTTGTAGTCCAGAAATTTTATCTATCATGTTGGTCGACAGAGATAATTTTCTGCAATTGAATCTCGTAATGTACAGTGTGTTTTCGGCTCGCGATTGTCAACTTACTCCACGTTTGTCAAAGTTCCCAAAGTTGTGTCCATCTTCTCTATCGGTGGAAATACCCCGTTCAATTTTACCTCTCTTGCCTCAGCTGGATCTTCACCAGGATGTTTCTCCTCCCATAATTTGAGGGCTTCTTTGATCGTCGTAGGCTTCGGGGCTGCCTGTTGAAATTTTCACATTCACCAATTTATACTTTTTTATGAATTAATTTCTGCGCACCATGGAACACGACGTTTCAGAGCTGTAGATTTCTGGTCTCTTTTGTTGCTATGGTAACAGTACCATCGCGAGTCATGTCACTTCTGAAGTTTGATCAATACGCTCATTTGGAATGGTATGTGTGTTATCCATAGGTTCTTTTCGTGGTTCCAAGAGATCATATTCGAACATGGCTAGCGAGAAACCCATGGCCGATGAGCCGATTGTTCATCGGATTCGCATTACTCTGACTTCGAGGAATGTGAAGAGCTTGGAGAAAGGTTTGTAAGAAACACGGATTTTTCGAAGTTCGCTTCTTGTGATGCCGATATCTTTGTTGTATCTTCATGCATTTTAGTGTGCTCCGAACTGATCCGTGGAGCGAAGGACAAGTCGCTGAAGGTGAAGGGACCTGTGCGTATGCCCACAAAGACCCTGCGCATTACCACCCGTAAAACTCCTTGCGGTGAAGGTTCGAAGACATGGGACAGGTTTCAGATGCGCATTCACAAGCGCGTGATCGACTTACACTCGTCATCCGAGATCGTGAAGCAGATCACCTCCATTAGCATTGAACCTGGCGTCGAAGTTGAAGTCACAATTGCCGATCCTTGAGCGTGCTGTTCATTTCTTTCGAAAAGTGGACGTGGAGCCGTGAATAAATGCTCTGCGCGTTGAAATGTGACGCGGATCTGCTGAAACATTTTCCTCTTGCCAAATACGAGCTGCACTGATGTGGTAACGAAGGCAGCGCATTGTGAAACACGAGAAGTATCAAAGACACGTACAGTTTTTGCTAGTTACCGGTTGAAGAAAACTGAAAGGACACGGCGCTTTCCGTTTGAGGATATAATGTTGAGGTTTTGCACGACGAAGAATCGAAGTGACCATGTTTACTTGTTCTCAAGTTTTCAGTTAGAATATCGATCATGTTTTTTAAAATTGCGATTTCATTACAGCTGAAACAACATTTACTTCATTATTTTTGCTTCACAATTTCGCTGCCTGACAATGGTTGAAAATATAGTGGAAATTGAATTGTTCAGGACGTACTGCCTTTGTCCGGATAATCAAGCATTGTATATAAACTAGTTTTGAAGAATTTTATTCAATAGATATGAAAATCTGATGTAGTAAATATGTCATCCTGTATCAATGGCATTTCATAAATCTTCTAGTACGTCAGCCTTGAAATTGACCCATTGTAGAGAATTGACGCAATGTTAAATTCCTATGTGGACATTCGCCGTGCTGCTCTAAATGAACTCATATTCGGATTGTCGATTACCGTACTTCGTCCATCATTTTCACATCAATGCATTCACTTGGGTACCCGTGCCTTCAAGTAAGCAGGGCACCCACATTTTGCAATCTCAAAATGTGAATAAAAATGTAACCAGGAGTAAGAGGCGCACGAATTGTTACAGGCTGAAAATTCGAAATACAAAAAGAGCATGAGAATTTAAATTTGGTCTTCTATTGGTAGTCAAAATTTGATTTTTCATCATTTCCATCTTTTGACTTGTCTGTTAAATTGGTTACAATACCCTGTTGGGATCCAGTATGAAGTGCACCAGAGCTTTCTTAATTTTGAGAGAAAAGGTGTGCATGGTGCACAAGTAAATCCATTATTAAACCGAATTTTGTGTACAGTCGATGTACGATTTCGGTGACACTTCCGTTTATACGGCCATGTTCGGTTTAAGAGTCATTCTGGTTTAAGGATAGGGTATCATGAGATATTACGTATGTGACGAATACAAATATCCCACATGTTTTGGGACAGCCTTAACATGACACGAATACATTTTGTGCGTGGTTTGTCCGGAAGAGGAAGCTTGAGGATGAATACCGTACTCGGCCGAGATGTATAAAATATTTCATTATTCGCTCGCTTGTGACAATTCTCTGGAGAAATCTTGACCTGGAATGGTCAGTTCGTCTCGTAATTCTTGCCGTGACCTTGAATTAACCGTCAGTAAAGCAATGTCAAGCAGTTTTGACGTCAGATGATGATAATGTATTATTAATGGACATCAGACGTTCCGTTACAATCCATCAGTGCAGCTCTGGGAGAACCTCATTTGCCAGTTCCGTGACACGAGGACCGTGATTAGTCATACTTTTCTATTTGCAGCATGGACAAGTTTCTTGCAGAATTGCAAAGCGATGTAAGCGAAGGTATTCCAGCGGAGGAACCCACTGTTTCCCCGAGGAATTCAGAAAAACGGAAATCCCACGGCCAGAAAACGTTCCTTGAAAAGTCATCTCGATTTGTCGAAATCGACGCGAACAAGCTCCGTTATTTGCTCCGTGAGCAAGTTGAGCGCGAAGAGAAACGTGATTCGGGCAAGTATGGTTACCCTTTGTTGGATTGGGGGAAGGCTAAGGTCAGGAAAACCCACTTTTATAGGTACAAGTGAAGCCCTGAAGAGCGCCCAACGCCATAGATGTGTGACTAGCTCCAATCGAAAAACTAGAAGCCCACACCTAATACCAAGCTCTGTACAAACTCACAGAACTCCACTGAATTTCGCGGATTTCTTTCACGAATTCTTGGTTGCAGTGTCATTAAATAATATTCAGCGGTTGAAGAGAACGATGCCTGATTAGAATTGGTTTGATCATCGAATTCATCTTGGGGAACTGAGATAAATTCACTGAAGCAAAATTTTCCAAGTTGGAAAAATCATCTTAGGTTCAATGATTACCTCAAATATAATTCCTGGATGGTTACTTTGTAATTTTCCTTGAAAATGCATGGGAAGTTCAAGAGAATTGAATTTGAAACCTAAAATTTCACATGGTGTAATGTATGAAAGGCAAATGATGATAAGAATGAGGTGCTGGTAGTCGCTCCTTTCCAT